GTCACTAAAAGTTTCTCAAAGCTGGCGTATTAATGTACCGATGCTTTTATGAGCTTATTCATTAATCCATCAGAGAAAAAAGAACCAGAAGTTTTTGTAAAAGAACATTTTGAGGCCTATGCAAAAACGCTTAGTTACAATTACAGGCTATCCTCGACGAAGCAACCGAGAGTTGGGGAATAAAGGTGGAGCGCGTCGAAATGTGGGTCTAGCTTTAAAATTAATTCTATGATCCTGAAACCTTAGAGATTGTTTTATCTCAGAAAAGACGTACGACTGCCGGTGCAGTTACAGAGGGCGATGGCTGCAGAAGCTGAAGCCACCAGGGAAGCACGGGCAAAGGTAAGATAAAATGATTTATTGGACAAACACGAATCGCGCAACTTACCTTCTCCAAAGGATAATTGACAAAAACTCCCCCAGACAAAGACGAGATCACGAACCTGAGATTATAAATGAATATGTTAGTTACATAAGTTGTTTCAGACCTCATAGTTTTTCCGTTATGGCTTTGTACGTATGAAGTACAAATAAATCTCATATTTACATACTCACTGAGAACTATCTACAAAGTTATGAGAAGGGGCTATTCTGTGTTGTGTAATAGAGAACTAATGCGTGGTGATCTAATACATTACAACTACTGACACATTACTAAAGGAGGGACGAGAGAGGAGTGGGGCTGAGAATGGGTGGCGAAATACTGAAGAGTGTAGTATTGATATTAGCGGAATAAGAAGGCATACTCTCATTTATTAATATTGGAAAACTTGCAGGAAATAGTTTAAAGATTCGTGGAAATTGTCTAATTAGTCGAACAGGAATGTGACCTGACTCCGCCCCCACCACGTCCCTTTTTGAGCGACTTTTTTTATGATAAATATATGTGAATTCATTATTATTTGTTTGTACACTAAAATCTCTGTAATATTACCAGGTTATTGCCGCTGAAGGTGAGCAGAAAGCTTCGCGATCTCTTCGTGATGCAGCAACTGTCATCGCTTCTACACCAGCCGCCTTACAACTTCGTTATCTTCAAACATTGAATAGTGTGGCGTAAGTTTTTTTCTAGTTAGTCATAAATCAAAGTAGTTACTCCTGTATTACTTTATTTATATTAATTATTAATTATATTAATGCAAAGACTTCAATATTTCAGCGCAGAGAAGAATTCCACAATCATCTTCCCGCTGCCTATGGAATTTGTACGACACCTCATCCATGATTGACAATGACAACAAAAAATTCCCCAAAATAATGTATTCGTTGCGAAATTAATTCTATTCTTTCGATGATTCTAATATTCGTGAAATTAATCGGGTGAAAATAAGTCTATGAAAATGTCCACTTCCAAATTTACCTTTATTCCCGAAGAATATAAATCAATTCATTTTCTATCTCAGAATGCATCTATAAATGATGCTGTGTATATGCCTATATATCTATTGAATCGGTAGTTGTTGATTATTTACAGCCATATGCGCTGATATCTGATACATAAAAATATCGTCTCACTTCTTCCCATGCTGTAAGGAATGAAAGGTGAATTCAACTAAAGCACTGTGTTGAAAGAAGAAAATGCTTGAAAATTCTCAGAAATTTTCTTCTAGTATATCTAGTACAGTGGTTAGAGCGCAGGAAACGGTCCGTTGACGGTTACACTAAAAGATTAATAGCTGTTTCAGAAGATACCTGGTAAAGCCTCATTGTTTCTTGGAAATAAGTAGAGATAGTGTCCAAGTTTCAACATTACATTCTTAATTTGTAAATGATCTTGTTGAAATTCATGCTTTTACTGGATAAACTGCAAACAAAAAAGCACACATTAGAGTCGATTGTGTATATCAGGAGATTGATGATACGGACCTTGTCCCTGCGTCCGATAGCATTTATCGTGTGCGACTTATCTTCCACAGTTCAAAGGTTTTTTTTTGTCTCTCCTACCATTCTTTCAATAACGAAACAATCGTAATTTGTTGAGTGAATCACTAGTACTACGCGCTATTATAGCAACCTTTTCAAATTTGACCTAGAGTTCGCTAGATAATGAAGCCTTCTACAATTTTTCCCGCACCTATCTTGTATTGGCGAATAATGGTTGGATAGGTAATCTGCAACTTGTATGAAATAAATTTTGTCAATAAGCCTATCAATCAATTTGCCAAAGAAATTAGTTTGACTAATTGGGAAGCATGTGAA